TCAAATACAATTACAAATAGATTTCAGGCACTTAAAATTGTAAATTAACATACTTAGTTTTATTCTAATTTTGGAACCCATAAATCAAGGCTACACTAATGTCCTGTGTAAAAACTGCTAAATAAATAAAAACAGTACCGTTTGAATGGGTTAAATTCTGGGGTCTAGTACACACTGTTCTGAATACTGCTAATCAAATTAAAATTGATTGAGCATTCACTTCTAATCAACACTGAAGCAATGACTTCATGAAAAATAATTTTCAGTTCAGCCTTTTTTTAAAATAATATTACACTCTATAGATGCATATAAATTTTATTACATAAACAGTGATTTAGCAAATGAGATTTACTTAATACTTGATCCAATTAAGTGTATATAAATTATAATACTGCAACAACAAATATTGAACCCTCAATAATAATACCAAAACAGAGGCAATAAAGTTTGGTAAACAATATAAAAAAAGAGGCTAAAAAGAGCTTGTAGAGGAATTTAAATGATGATGAATTTCATCAAGGAATACTCCTGTCATGAATTAAATACTAAATGCATTGTAGTGACAGGAAAATGATGTTTGATCATGCTGTTTTGTTTTGAATCTAACATCAAACCAGTCTACCTTAGTTAGTTCACTCAGATGCAACCTTCAATCTAACCAATCAAAACCTAAAGATTTGTTATGTACCTTCTTGTTCGATCATCTTCCATCTTAAATTTAGGCTGGTTCTCTGGTTAGAGACAATAACAAAGAAATTAGCATTCAAAAGGTAACAGACTGAGATACACACCTTATTGAAATACCAGCTATTAAAATGTACACAGTATTGAATGAGTTTTACTTAAATCTTTTATAGTAACATTTAGTTTCATGTTTAGTTTCAAACTTACAACAATATCAATTTTCTTTCATTAATGAAAAGATACCTATATTGGACATTTTCCCATCTGAGGTCGTGTTTTTTTCCTTGATTTATTTCATCACTACAAGGTATTTTAAGTTACTTGAGATCTTATACATGTAATGTAGCAATAAACAACTAAGCTCCCTGGTCTTGAACTTACACTGACGAATTACACCAAAAAATCCCGATTTAAGCTCCCTCCACGACCCAGTTATACACCTATCATTCTGATAACAAATAATTCAGACATGACTAGTAAATGGCAACATATCGTACTCATTCTACTGGTAAAACAACCCTTACCTCATCTTAAGCATTTGTTATAAAAAAATCTGATTTTTCTTTTTATTATTTTAAAATATGGATTTTATGGATCGATCTAAAATGTATTAATCAAGCTGGCCCCTCTATATACATTGTATTTTAATACAATTTCGTCTCACCTGGATAAATAAATTGGACATTAGATAGTGTAGCAACTATTGTTATATACCTGGTTCTTCAAAGCACACTGACACGTGTAAATGAAGTGACCGGGTATTCTGAAGTTGCTCCGTGTTTATATCAGACTAAATTTAATTTTTAACAAATTTAAGGTTAGAAATTTTTGAGTGTCGATCGAAGAACATCCTCACAAACAAAGATCATCCTGCTTTTGAAAGCAGCATATACTGAAAACTGGGAAACCCGGAACGGAGCCAAAAGCCCTGAACACTCACTACTCGCCCAAATAAAACCCTATACAAATTTTAACGAGTGTTTTTAGGGATTTTCAGGGTTTAATTCCATGCCTTGCAAGGAAAGCAACTTGCACGCAGCAGCATTAGCAGATAAGCAGCTCACACGATCGATGTTAGGTATTAAAAATACTTCCCTGTTGTGGATCATCAAATATTAATGTTTACACAAAAACGTAGATCTTGTCACAGAAACAATTGCAAAGTGCAGTCTCATTTGATTTGAGTTACGGGGTTACATCCCCTCGTCAGCGCTATTCCGACGTGTAACCGAAACACGATGTCCCTTCGGGAGTGACACACTAAAGTAAGTCACCCAGTGTAGCCGCCTTAATTAAGGCAATTCGGATCATGCCTTCGTGCGAACTCCGCATTTTTCCGCGCGTGTTCACCGCACTGCTGACGCACTACAAGGGATTCGTTTTGATTCCGTGTCTGCTATCCGAACGAAATTATAATGCACGTGTCTCCCCAGGGACTAAACAAGTGTCGATTGCACGACTGGACTGGGATCATGATTTCTTTGATGAACTACAACGCTACTTCATTGTGTACACTTTTGGCTGTGGCGCGAAAACTACACGAGCGATATCGCGCTTTGTTTGGAAGACCGCGGACGAAATGTGTTCACAAGAAGACAACCCACTGACCAAAATGTTTGCTAAAATAAATTGCAAAGAATCTGCATTTCCACCTACCAGTATCACTAACAAGTAACAAGGCTGTTCAGCCCTTAGATGCCATTTCCTTTCACAAATTGCCAACACTTCGCCCTACGCAACCTCATCCCTTTTTCCCAGAACTACCAAGTATATTACAAGACGTTCGATTGGTTCCAGCGTAAATTTCCTAATTTGGATATGACGTTTATTACAGCCAATGACAGAGAGCGTACTATTGTTATAGTATTTCCGGGAATCCCCTTATGCCTTAGATGACTCATGCCTACAGGGGTTCAGCCATGTTGGATTATTTGTGAGCATGGATTGCCGATTTTTCCACAAATAAGTTGTGGAAAATGACTCTAAAGGTCTTAAGATAATATGGAGGACACTTTTAATGATTTTTCGAGGTTATCTTTGGAGGAAATCGCGGGAAATAGGGTGAAATTATTGAACGGAATTCAACAACAACTTAAGAATGCAGTCGACTCCCTCAATGCCGGAAGTGATTTCTCGCTAAAGGAGAGAGTCGGACGTGTCTTGCAGCAAGTAATCAAGAACCTAGATTTTATAAAGGCTTCATGCAATGAGGAAGGTAAAGGGAATTTCTTTTTACAATCTAAAAACTGAAACTCGATTGTCTAGTACATCCCAATTTGCTAAGTAATAAGCTTACTCGTGTTTCCTTTTCGATAAACTTTTAAAAATATGTAAGATTCCCCTAATCCGTCTTTATTGACTGTGCCAATTTTCGAAGCCAGTCCCCTTATTAAATTTCTCATCACCGGGTGAAATATAAGCTTAATGCAGCTACTAACAAAATCAAAACTATCTCCACATCTATACATGTAACAGTGCAATTAAAATAATATTATTTGCAGACTCATCTGGCTTGAGGACAGTAGGGAAAGTTAGCCAGGAAGAATTAGCTGCATGGGAAAGACTTGGGGAAGGAGGATTTTCAAGCGTGTACAAGGCTAAACTTAAAGGAAATGATGTTGCTGTTAAGGTGTTGAAAAATCTCAAAGAAACCAAACCCTTGCTTACCGAGGGAAATCTTTTGAGGTATGTCAAGTGAACTGCATTCTTCTGGTATCCTCTGCAAAAAAAAAAAAAAAAAAAAATCAAATCAATATCCACAGTAAACAACGATGGCTTGGCGGTTTTAATGGAACTGATCATCTTGAGTCATAACCTTTNCAAAAAAAAAAAAAAAAAAAAAAAAAAAAAAAAAAAAAAAAGCTGTCAAATCAATGCATAAGCTTATAATACCAGATTGAAGAAATTATATTATTCTACTAATGCCAATCTGTAAGACATGCTACTTCGATTTGAAAAAGTAAAATTAAATATAATAATTTGAACATGTTTTGAAGAAATTTTGCCTGCTAGTTATTACTTATAGATCGGAAGTTCTGTTTTTGACTTTTGACTTTGATGCATGATTTCTTGTTGATTTTCTTGTTGTCTGAACTCCAAGTGCTAATTACAGTTACATAACATAGTCCATGTCTCTATTATTTGCAAATTATAGAAACTCAAATGAAAGCTTAGGAGAACAAGAAATGCTGTGAAATCAAAAGCCATAGGAGAATTAATTTTGCTGTAGCTTTTTTGAGTTCTCCCTCTCACTTTCACAAGTGTTATATGAGCTCTGCTCAGTAGATTGAAACACTGATTGACAACATTGTTTTTTAACCCTCCATAAACAATTAAAAGTCTTTATTATTATTATTATTATTATTATTATTATTTTTATTGTTATTAGTAATAGTAGTTGGTCCGAGTGGAGTACAATTCAGGGAGTAATTGTGCAAGTAATTTCAAAATTGGACGAGCGCGAGGCCAATTTGAAATTACGAGCACAATTACTCTCTGAATTGTACGACACATGGTCCAATTACTAATTATTATTATTATTTTTTTTTTCCTCCAATTCCTAGCTTATACATAGATATGTAAATATAATGTAAAGAAAGTAAATAGTAACCGATAGAGCTTTGTAAGGAAGAAAAAAAAGCAAATTACTAAGTAATCGTATCTATGACAAATTTTGGAATTAAAAAGATGTTCTTTGAGAACTTCTTTTGAGCGAAAACATCTGTAGTGCTTTTGAAAACTGTAAGAAACATTGTGAAGGAAGCCACGAAAGCGCACGTAATTGACGTGTGAATCACGTGGGTATCCAATTACCGGTATTCAATTATGAAAAGTTCAAATTGGATACCTGTAATTGGACACCCACATGATTGTGCACCGATTACGTGACAAATACCGGTAGGCGCGCAGAGAATTAATCACGATCAAGAATTTTGTTATAGGTACAATTATTATTATTGTTGTTATTTTTAGTATTATTGTTGTTATATTTCTTTTAGAAAACCTTGCAAAAAAGGAAAATCACTCAAGACGTGTCAGTTGTCAAAATTCTTTTGCTTGCCAAATGCTTGCACTAAGCTAGCACACACTTTCATATAGGGCATTAATGTTGCAGTTCCTACAGAGTTACGTTGAACACCAAACATTCGTAGTAGATGAATACAGAAACCACACAACAATTTATGGCGTAAAGGGGGGATCACTGGTCTGTGATCAGCATGACAGACAAACTTCCACTGCGTGACCAAAGCCTAACCTATCTCCCCAGCAGTAAAACCCAAGCTGGCCACGTGGCTGTGCTTTAAAGACTTGCTTTGAAGCTTCAGTTTCTAATATTGCTATTAATTAATTTTGGTACACAAATTGTTAATAAATTTATTAAATTTATTAAATTTATTACTGTCTTATAGGTTTCATGATTATAATAATTTTATTTATTCATTTTGTCTTTAAATATAGAGATCTTCGCCATGACAACATTGTTGCTTTCAGAGGAATGAGCATTTTGGAATGCAACGTCACATTTGAAAATGCTATTTCCCATGAAAAATATCTATTGAAAGCTGGAAGTCCTTTTCTGGTTATGGAATACATCCCCAAGAATCTGTACAGATTTGTAGAGGATCACAAGACACCAGAATCTCAGGGACTTCCTAAGAGTCAAGTGTGGACCATCAGTAGGGGAATGGCTAATGGTTTAATGTACCTTCACAGTTTGAACCCGCCAATCAGTCACCGAGATTTGAAACCTGATAATATTCTGGTGAGTTCTTTTCTCTTTTGCGTCGCTCAGCCAAAAAGAGAACATCTAGTAGACATAGATGTACATTTTAATTAACATGGTATATCATACCACCTTTTCTTAAAAATAGATTACATATACACAGATTACAAGCCACAGTATATACGTCAAATGTTACATGCTATTTAATACACAATGTTATTATATATGATAGTTATATTAAGGAAAAGTAGACTAACTTAGTAACGTAAACTGGTCAGCATCAAGTAGTGTGATTTTCATAAGGAGTGATATATAAAGGTCTGATTATCCCAAAGGGAAATAATACAATTTACAAAAAAGCAATTATTTTATGTTATGATTGGGAGGGGCACAGTGCACTGAACTCGGGATCATGTGTTCTGGGTCACTGAGCCTTGGCCAGGGTTATTGTGTTTTGTTGTTGAGCACCACACAATTTCTCTCACAATGCCTCTCTCCACCCAGGTGTATAAATGGGTACTGGCAAATCTAATGCTTGGGGCCAACCTGGTGATGGACCTGCATCAAATCCAGGGGGGAGTAGAAATACTCCTAGTAACTTCATGTTACCAAAACCAGCACAAGCTATGGTTTTATGGGTCACCCTGCGATGACCAGCATCCTCTCCAGGGGGTTAGAAATAACCCTAATTGCTTTATGATACCTTTACATTGTATGAAAACCAGAGATACATGTAAGCACTCATACTGTTAGACAAACAAATAAGTCTTAACCTACCTATTTACTATTCTTAGGGATTAGATAATAAAAGTCCAAAACAATTTCCTCAATTAATGATTGAAATTTTGTAATTATTATTAACAATGTTAGAAATAAAGACCCAGTATTTATCACAGTAATTATTATTATTGTCTATTTATAAATATATGATAATATTTTATTGAATAAAATATAATATATTTATTATTACTGACTTTTGATAACTGTGAACAAAAAACAAAAACAAAAAACACTTTACTTCAGTGTAGAATGACAAGTGAGATATTCCCCAGACACTGAATTTTATTTTTATATGCCTTGTAGCTTTTTGGTGATGATTTTTTAATATTAATTGCTATAAATAATTTGTTTGTAGTTGGATGTAAGAAGCTTAAGGGTGAAACTGGCCGACTTTGGCTTGTCACGAACTGTTGAAAGAAGTGGGAATGATCTGTCTTTATTCCATGCCCGCTGGACAGCTCCTGAGGTGTGGGATGATTACATTGATGATGATGACTATGTTGAAGGTGACGTGATGGGCAATAATTTTAATTGACAGCATGAATAATAATATTATTTTGTATTTACCATTTCCAAAGTTCAACCAAGTTCGATCAGTTTGTTAATTTAGTCTGTAGTTATTAATAAGAACAGTGCTTACAACAAGATTTGATGTTAAGCTAGCTTCTCTGGTTCATTCAGCCCATCAGAGAGCAATAAGAGATCACACTCATAAAAACTTCCTGTAGAGAGGCCCAAGTGTTGAAAACTGCCTATGTAATGGCTGTCATTTCACAGGTCCAGAGCATTTCTGGCTGAGCTCTGGCTGAGCTCTGGCAGCTCAGGGTCTTATTGTATGCACTGTGGGACTCATAAAGTTTGGAGTATTGTTTATAATTATTGGATAATAAATGTCTGTTTGGGAGAGAAAGCTGATTCAGGTGACATGAACCATCCAAAAAATAATTAACAGTTTCAATTTCAAATTTTAAAAATGTTATGATTCATTTATTTTTGCATTTTAGTTAATTAGTACCCATGTTATGTAGGGTCAATTGTTGCTCTATGAAACAACTGGTGTTTATTCTCCAAAATTGTATAGACATGCAAATCCCTGTTGAATGAACCTTAAATCAACTGCTGCATGAAACAAAACTTCTTATAATAAGCAGATTCAGATATCAGGCTTGTTCCAAATTACTTAGATCAATCAATGTGTGAGTGGAGCAGCTTTAAACAGGGCCAACTTTTCTTCATCCATGAACAGAACCTGTTGAGGAACAGCCTGAAAAAGAAGAAGAGTATACAGACCTCGATGATGAGTTATTCTATCTTAGAGCTGATATCTACTCATATGGTCAAGTGGTCGCTTATACATTAACAGGAAATATGCCATGGCACGGCCGGAATTCTGTCAGTGTAAAAGGAATTCAAAATAACTTGGTTCAGAAGGAAGACCGAGTTGAGATACCCGAAGAACTGACAGGCAAACTGAGGAATGTTATCATTGACTGCCGTGTAGAGAATCCTGAACTGCGTCCCACAGCTGATAAATTAGTTTTGGAGTACTTCAGTGGTAAGTCTGAGTATTTTTTGAAGCTGACTTAATATAACATGGGTTTTAAGTTTCATAATTTTTTCTGATCTTATCTGATCTATTTAACAATTATTCCATGAGCTCAGGGTGGATATAAGATGGTAGATAGCAAACGAGGTGCATGGCACCAAGTTGGCTATAATCATCTCATACTCAACAAGCTAAGCATGAGTGCAATAATTCAGGGCTCGACACTAACGGTAGCCAACTAGCCACAGACTAGAAGAAATTTAGTTTTGGCTACTAGGTTTTCGATTTCCACTAGCCACTTTGGCTAGTCAACAAAATGAAATTGGCTGCACTAGTTTCTGTCTTCTTCAAGGAAGACAAACACGAAATTTACACTTTTCTCGGAAACAAGGTCAGAATTTCATTGTGGATATACATGTATCATGGTACTGAGCATGTCGTGTTCAGCACATATGCAAATTTAACTTTGTTTACTTTTCACCAGGTAGTGCGTAAACGGGGAACTGAACATGTTAATTTTGTTGAAAGAAATATTTGACAAACAAGACAGCATTTTCTGAAAGCACACATCAATGCTCTTTTTTGTTGTGAAATTTTTTTCATGCGCATAATAGTGCAGAACTGTAAAGGGATAACATTTAATTTAGCGTAACAATACATGGGTGATTTGTCGTTGCATGCATACTTACAAACTTACCACCACAGAAATAATTAGATGAGAAAGATTTATTTCCTTTGACATTTAAATCAGCCATTTTTAGCTGTCAAATTTCGCCAACGACAGTTTACAGTATTGTTCAGATAGTTGTTTTGCTTTTGAAACATTTCTACTGTGCCTGTCTGTGAAGAAGTCTCGACAGTTTTTACAGTGACGTCTTGGGGGTCTTGATGTCTTTCCAAGGAAGTCTCAAAAAAACAACAGAGTCCCGAAAGTCTTTTCCGGAACTGGAACTTTTTTGAAACTAGTTTAAGTACAGTATAATTACCAACAGTATGTATTAAAGAGAGTCGCTTGCGTTGTGCTTTCAAGTCTTGCTAGTAATTCTGCTATTATTGGACCTACCTGTAACTTTTGCAACACGTTAATTTTGCGAATTTCATGATTTAAAAAAAATCACGAAATTAAAGTGACGCGATTAAGTAAGTGTCATGAACATAACACATTATGTTACTGTAAACATATAGTACCGCTATTGCGTCTTTGCTACTTTTGACGTTATTGTACCTTTGATAAAGTCAGTTTACTAAATTCAAAGACATGTTTAAGTAACATTGCCAAGGAAATAAATTTTGTGGTACTCAAAAATGCAAACTTAAAGTGATTCAAAATACAAAATTTTCGGCAAAATTGCCAAATTTAAGTGTCGCGAAATATGTGGACCCCCAAATCGCGAAATGAACGTGTCGCAAAAATTTCATGTAATAGGGTAACCAACCACGACGCCTGGCTAGTAAAAAAAGGTTTTGGCTAGTACTATCTAAGGTATCACTAGCCACTTGGCTAGTAAGTTGAAAGGTTAGCGTGTAGCCCTGACAATTGTTTTGTTAAATGCCCCCTAAATATAGAAAACTAAAAAATTAAAATGAAAATAAAAATGCGCTAAGAAATTACATTTATGCTTACCATATTTGTAGAGCATGGTATGATGGCTCATAACCCATGAAGTGGCTAAGCCAACGAAAACTCTCAGATTGACTTTATTCAATTATCTAATGATCCAGTTTAAACTAATTTCATAAGTTGTATATTATAAGAAATAAAGGTCCCTGAACATTCTCTACCCACCCGCCCATCCCCCATAGCCTTTGGAATGGTCCTTACCCTTAGAAACATGGTTTCATTGAAACAGATTGCATCTTCTCCTTATACACTGTATTTTCTAAGGATACTGAATTGAGAGGCAATCTCTTCATACTTGGTGCCCAAGCACTGATGTCTGGGCATCAGCACAAAATACTGTTGCATTCAGACCGTACTGAGTACTCCAAGTATCTAAGTACCATTTAGTGCCTCGGTACAAGGTTGATACCTTGTTCCTTGATCACAAGCTGCAGACTGAGTGTGCCTAGAGAGTTCTGGTGTGAGTTCTGGATAAAAAGGTGTGTTCACATTAGTTACCATTAGTGTCTAATGAGTATCATACACAGGCACCATGCTCAAGCATCAAGTGTGAACATATTACATCCCAGTTCTTTGCTGCAAAAAGGAAATAGGGGAGAAATCAATGGGCCATAATTCCAAAATTTCCTAGCCTTTTTCCTCTGTTTTTGAAAAATTTATGTCTTCCTCACAATGTTTTGCTGAGTTGATGAGGTGTTTTGTTCTGATTCAACTTGCTTTGTTGAGATCTATCATGAAAAGGCGCAGAGCAGTTACAAATTAATCATCACGACTGTTATTGTTGTTGTAGGTGACACCAATCCTTACCAAACTGAGGCCACGAGTGCTGAGTTTTTTTCGTGTGGTTTCCTCCAGCACACTTACATTTTTGTTGCAGAGAGTCTGGTTGATGAGGTAAGTTGACTCAGTCCTCTTTGTGTATATTTACCTTTTTACAATACCACTGATAGCAAAATTGTTAATTATGTATCACACATTCAATATTGTCATTCTGTCACGTAAGAACGCACACATTTTTAACTTGATCACCGCTGTAATTGATAATAATAGTAAATACTTTAACTTGTAATAATATTGTTAGCAAGGTTTTGCTCCTAATGCTACAGATACAGAGCTGTGCTTTTTCATTGTAAAATGTCATATACATGTTGAAATATTCAGGGTTTGAAGAGGTTAATGCCCAAAAAAAGTGGTGCGCTCCAAAACAAAATAGCTAGGTCGCTACTTCACATCTATCAAAAAGAAACATATCAAGGGTTCCAGGTTTAAGAAACGTCATTATACAGTTTCGTTTTTGAACCCTAAGTTCTATATAATATTGAACAAGCTTTCAAGTTGCATTGCTGGCAAAAGAGAAAATGCAAATGTAGCAAATTAAGTGATGAGACAAAAATAGAAGGACAATTTAGCAGGGCTGATACTACAATAACATAAGAAACGTTTTTTAAAAACGCGGTAACGGCATGATAGAGTCCAAAGTGAAAGCAAAAATGCAACCTTGGGCAGCTGTTTCGACCTGATTATAGGTCTTGTCAGCGCGGCTAGCGGCCCAATATAGAGCAAATGCAAAGGGTGCGAGTTACAGGTGACGCACGCGCGCGGAAATGTGTGTGTGGACGTTTTTCACTATTCTTTCCTCTCGCGCGTACTCTTTTAACACGCGCACCAAACGCACGCGTGTCCTATAATAGTCACGCCAAGCGTCCGCATGCCATTTAACAAATTGACGTCAGTTTTTCATGCGTCTGTCCTGTCGTTGATGATGAATTTCGTCATAACATTGTCAAAGTAGTTGTGGATCAACGAGGTGATAGCCGAGTGGATCCGCAGACTCCTTTGACAATGTTATGACGAAATACATTGTCAACAACAGGGCAGACGCATGAAAAACTGACATCAAATTATTTTTTACGATAACAAATTGTCAAATTGTCCTTTCTCGCTCGTTGACGCATCGCATAAATTATAAATTCATGTGTCGGTCGACTTATTGGCAATTAAAATTAGCCAATGAGCGCGCGCGAATTTCAGCAGTTATCGTAAAAAAGTGTAAGGTTGTCCACACGCTTTCATCGCGCTTTTCTCTTGCGTTGCGCGTGGTTTCTCTAATTTATCCTTTTTCAATTAACAGTCTAGTGAAGGCTTCTTCAAGACAGGGATTCGTCCGCAGGGGTTCCCCCCTGAGTGTCTGTTGTGTCATGTTGAGGTCGGCAACAAGGCGTATAACGATGTACCTAAAGAATGGGTTTACGAACTGAAGTACCGAGAGTATTATGGACACTTCAGACAGGTAAGGAGAGTACAGGAGTTAAGGCGATTCCTTAGTATTACATTGCGCATCCTCACTGCGCACGATTTTCGCGTCATTAGCGCGCGCACATGAGCGCGTGCGCGTACAAAACGTAAGAGATTTTCCTCAAACGAAGCTCGATAGCGAAATAAATGCTTCTTCTCTCTTAAACGAGCGCGGTGACCCCCGATTTTTCTTTCAGGTATTTGCTAAGAACAGTCTCATAAAGAACATATTTGAAGAAGAAAAAAGTTTGATAGGAGAACATATTTTGTGTCTTTCAAGTAACCAAGACTTAATTTTGTATGGAGGTGATTCAAATTTTTAACGCGCAGCCAGTAAAAATACCCCATTTTAAGAGCCTGCTGACGCGTAAACAAGCACAGTGACCCCATTTTTTTATTGCATTTTTTTAATGTTCATATCATGAATGTTAATTATGCCAAGTTTCAAAAAAAGTTTGATAGTAGAACAATTTCAAGGGAATTACCTTAAAGGAGCTCAGTCACAATATAATGTGTGTATTTTGAGTTATTTTGGTCACGTTAAAAATTACCCTGAATTTGAAGGAGACCTGAAAATAGTAGTTTACGAAGATAGAAAAACACCAAAGAGATAATTAACACGGATTGACTTTTCAAAATGCGCAACCCGTGACGTAGCTCCTTTAAGAAAGTCATCTGAGATTTGGACTCCTGGATTTGGAATTAAGATAAATTCTCTCAACTGATTATACATGAGCTGAATGTAGACCGACATGTGATGGGAATTTGAATCCTGGCGTGATAACCTAAGAGGTTCTCCAACGCGTTGACAAAAATAGGAATTTTATCGGCAACAAAGAGATCGATCGACGAGGAGAACGGCGCTATTCTATAAGTGATTTTATATGGTCAATCAGCTGGCAACAGGCCATTTCTGAGGTACCGGGTGCCTCTGTTTCAAAACAAGTCTTCGTGGAAAACCTTGCTAATGAAAATGAATTTGCATGAAAATGAACCTGTAGGCGGAACACATTTTCACATGAATTGTTTCGCACGGAGACTGGTTTGAACGCAGGGACAAAAGACAACTCGGTGGCCTATTGCCTTATACTTACGTTTTTGCGATAACTAACTTTAGAGCTGAAAATGTAAGAACAGACCCAAGCAGAACTGAATATGGAAAATTGGCTGTCATGTTTCACATGCTCCATTAACCTCAGATTTTGTCTTTTAACGTTGTCGGCGAAGTTCAGTGCGCAGACAAACACTGCGAAAGCTGTTGAGGGGCTTGTCACTCTGGTAAATGACCTGATAGTCTAAAATTTTTGAAAAAAGCCGCAGCGACTAAAAGGTGCCACAATCTCAATTTATGGGTTTGACTCAAATATATATATATATATTTTTTTTGCATTAAGATATAACATATCAAGCACGAGAGACAATGTTTTACCACAAATCTTAACACTGAAATGAGAGTTGAAAATACAGCGCGCAATGGAGTATTCTTGACGAACTTCGAGACGAATGGAAATGTGGTCAAACACTATCGTGAGGACTGTCTTTAGTGTTTGATATATCTTCTCAATCAAACTAAAACTTACAGGAAACTGGACAAATTACAAGTTGTAAAAATCTGTGCTAAATGAGATCAGATATCCACTAGAGAGGGAGAGACACCGTCACAGTCATTATTTTCTTTCTTTAAACTTGGTGAATTATTAATGAGTTTGAGAAGAACCAGGGAATAACTAACCAATACTTAAAAACTACAAAGCTTGTTGTTTGCAAGTTTGAAATTAAACCCATGAATGATATTAAAACATGTTTTGCCGCGGCCCCCTCCCTCAGTAAAGTGTACATGCATTTTCTGTTGGCTCCATACAAGCAATTGTCCCCCTCCTTACCGGGCTATCCCCATCACTAAGACGTGATTCCCACGTGTAAAAGTTACTTGTTCCCCCCGGCGGAACAATATCCGAGCGTGTTACTCAGAGTTCCGGTTTGTGTTATTTACCCTTTACTCTTCTTGACTTGTTTCCATACACAGGCAGCCATTGATAAGAAGATCGAAGACAATCCCGCCATCGCGCTCAAATCGTTGATCACCTCGCGCGAAGAAGAAGAGGAGAGGCAAGAAATTCAACTCATGTTTGGTCAGTCAACTTATTGTCATCACCGGGCCGTAAGGGAGATCTGGAGGAATCTGGACGACTCGAAAAAGAGGGAGTTAGTTGTGTGTAAAAATACTGTGCATCCAGTGTTTAGCACCTCGTTTGGGCTCCACGTGGCTGTGCTGACCGCGGACAGCCCTCAGAAGTTCATATTTGCAAGGAGAGCGAACCGAGGTAGCTAATGAAACTGTAGACTACGAGTAGTCCCTCTTTCGCTCATTCCGTCGAGCGTGACCGTAAATAAACCGCGAGAGAAAAATGACCGCGCGAAATCCTGGGAGCGAGAAGCGCGCGAAAGGAGCGTGCTTCTCGCCCCCAGGATTTCGCGCGGCCACGTTTTTTTCTCGCGGTTTTCTTTTGCGTTACACACGACGGACTAAGCGAAAGAGAGACTACTTGAAGTCTATTGAAAATAATATTCCAGGGGTAAATTTGGCGCAAAATTGTGTGTTGTATTTCGTGCTAACAAGTGACAAACGCCCGAAATATTAACTGACAAATTTAATTTTTTTTTTTTTTTTTTTTTCACTAACGGCTGAATCGGACAGGTCTGTGAAGAGCTCATCGACGGCTCTATTGCTTATACAGTCCGTAGTCAAGCCAAGTTATGCAGACGAGATTCCAATTAAAATTACGTTGCATTATCACGCGAAGCGGTCAGCTTTAAGCAAAGAGCAACGTGTATATTCTGTGTTCTTTTTTTTGTATTTTCAGAGGGTATGGCCACTCCTGGTAAGTTTACTTGCGGCGCTGTGGAAAGCGCCTCTGTCAAAGATTACATCTACAAGGACGGTGAAGCTTACGTGGATTTGGTCCAGACGGCCGCGAGAGGACTGGAAGAAGAACTGCGCGTCGAATTGTAAGGCAGCGATATCGAGGCTCTGTGCCTCACAACCGTGTACCTCAAGTTCGACACGCACGAATGGGGTTGCTGTGGTTACGTCGACCTGTCGGATGAACGAGTGGCACCCGAGCGCCGCTTGACGTTCGAGCAGCTCGGCTCTCGGTTTACGACAGGCCCGAAGGATAAATTCGAACACGAAGAGGTCGTAGCTGTTGACTTTGAGCTCCCGAGGATGGTCGAGTTTGTGCGAGAGAATTACAACGATTTCGCTAGTTCAGCGAAGCTGGTGGTGGTTAAAGTGTTGCAGTCGTTTTTTGGAGTTGGTGCCGTGGAAAGAGCCTTTCGAGTTTACATGGAAGACAGCGATGATGTTTTGCAAGGAGAGATAAAAACTTGAAAGCGCTTGGAGGTTGATATGATGTCTAGAATAATGGTTTTCATTTTAGCCAAGGTAGGCAAAGTAGGTAGGCTTTTTATCCACTGATAAAGAGGCAGCAGCCTCGAAACGTATGGATGTTTACGTACTTTTCGCGTAATAATGAATATTTACTAAGTTTCTTCATCTAATACTCACGAAGGTCGCCTTGTCGACTAAAAATCGCCTAGAACTCGCTTGACTCGAGCATGTCACGGAAAGGTGCTCGGGAACATTTGGGCTGCCTTCGTAACCACGACATGTCTTTTCTAGTGGACGTAAATCATCAATACTATCGTAGGCTTGTTAGCTGAAAAATGCTGTAAACTAAGTTTACGCCTTCGAAATTAGACTTGAAGTTATAAGGAAACAAAGATGTGAGGAATCTTTTTTTTTTTTTCAGAATTCTAATGTGCCCGGATGGCACATAGTGTTTTATAAAATACTTAAAAAACACTTTATACACTTAAAAAATAGTCTAGTAAATAGTTTTTAAGGGGCTACGTCGTATGGCGCCGCTTGAAAAATTTAGCCTAAAATTTTCAAGTTCTTCATATTACAATTTGTTACATTTTTGTTGCATTTTATTTTTTTGTTGTTTACTAACTTAGTTATGTGTTCTAATAAGCAGTTTCTTCGAAACACATTTTAAGACAAAAACCAGTGATATAAAACGACGTTTCGATATCTCTGGAAACGTCGTTTTATCTATTGCTGGTTTTTATCGTAAAAAAGCTAAGGTCTTATCGAATTTTTTTTGGTCAGATTTGAAGTTTATTTTCTACATCAAAGCAACCATAAAGTTACATCGAGAACAACTTGCTCTCTGTGTAACAAAGTTCATCAAAGTTCATTTAGTGGACTTTGTTAACCTCACGTTGAGGTGTGTAACAAGAGAGTTGTATAATAGGCGATCATTTGCACGAGCTGCATGCTTTTTCAAATAATCAACACCGATCTCTTTCCTCCGTCGGTGAATGAAGGAGATTTAGGCGAGGTCTGAATTGTGGTGTTAAGAATTATTTTGTAAATGAGGTTTGTCACTATTTATAGGTCTCTAAGAGACAGTGAAGCCCGAGAAAAATATACTTAGGTTTCTTTAGCACTAGTTCTCCACTATCTTCGGGACTTGTAAAATCTAGCACTGTAGCTCCGCCTGTATAAGTTGACCGAATGGTTCGCACCATGTAACTCTAGATTAGTAGTGAAGATCCCAACCTTCTCTTCCCTGCGCCGGTGGACAGTGATTGCAATCGTCTCTCTCTTCGCCTATTTAAAATTAGATTATGAGCTCGAGATTTCTATGAGGTGATAGTTGATGAGGCCGAAGGCCGAATCAATCACCTCATAGAAATCGAGAGCGAATTATTTTTATTAAAATTCTTAATAAAATTCACTTCAAATATCGGTTTCCAATTATTTCTTGACGTATTAATAAACTTTGCGCCTGAAAAAGATCGCTCGGATTTAATTGTCATTTAAAATTGAAGTTGTGTGCGCGCGCTTCAGTATTTTCGATTATTTCAACTTTTTTGACCTCCAGCCACAGCACACTAATGGCTGATAGTGTTCAATGGCTCAGCCAATCAAATTACAGCGTTTGCATTAGTATACTAGT